ACAACTGACAGAATGGGAGAAGATAACTGCAAATGTCTTATCACTTAAAGGGCCAGTATCCAAAATCTATAAAGAACTTATCAGGGACTCCTGGGTGGCTCAGTGCTTAAAGTGTCTGCCCTCGGTTCAGGGCATGATTCTGGAGTCCTGGAATGGAGTCTCATATCAGGCTCCCTGCATGGAGCCTGCTTCTCCCCCTGCCTGTGTCTCTGCCTCTGTGTTTGTATTTGTGTGTGTGTGTGTGTGTGTGTGATTAATAAATAAATAAAATCTTTAAAAAAAAGAACTTATCAAACTCAACACCCAAAGAACAAATAATCCAATCAAGAGATGGGCAGGAGACATGAACAGACATTTCTCTGAAGAAGACACACATGGCCAGCAGACACATGAAAAAATGCTCAACATCACTCAGCATCAGGGAAAGACAAACAAAACCCCAATGAGATACCACCTCACACCAGTCAGGATGGCTAAAATTACCAAGTCAGGTAACGATGGATGTTGGCAAGGATGCAGAGAAAGGGGAACCCTCTTGCACTGTTGGTGGGAATGCAAGCTGGTGCAGCCACTCTGGAAAACAGCAAGGAGGTTCCTCAAAGAGCTACCTTATAACCCAGCAATTGCACTATTAGATATTTACTCCAGAGATACAAAATGTAGTGATCTGAAGGGACACCTGCACCCCAATGTTCATAATAGGCAAACTGGAAAAAGGCCAGATGTTCATTGACAGATGAATGGATAAAGATGTGGTATGTATATACAATGGAATACGACTCAAGCATCAAAAAAAAAAATGAAGTCTTGCCATTTGCAATGATGTGAATGGAACTAGAGGGTACTGTGCTAAGTGAAATGAGTCAATCAGAGAAAGACAATTACCATATGATCTCACTTATCTGTGGAGTTTAAGAAACAAAACAGGATTATAGAGAAAGGGAGGGAAAAATAAAACAGGATGAAATCAGAGAGGGAGACAAACCATAAGAGACTCTTAACCAGAGGAAACACTGGAGGCTCACTGGAGGGGAGGGAGTGGGGGGACGGGGTAACTGGGTGATGGGCATTAAGGAGGGCACCTGGTATAATGAGCACTGGGTATCATATAAGACTGATGAATCACTGACCTCCACCGATGAAACTAGTAATACAGTATATGGTAATTAATTGAATTTTAAATTTAAAAAAAGGAAATCCTTTCTTTCTGAGGGGGGAGGGGCAGAGGGAAAGGAAGAGAGCGAATTTCAAGGAGACTCCTCGCCCAGCATGGAGCCCAATGTGGGGGCTCTATCTCACAACCCTGAGATCATGATGTGAGCCAAAATCAAGAGTCAGATACTTAACCAACTGAGCCACCCAAGCGCCCCAAAGAAAATCCTTTCTGAATATTTCCAAAAGCAGACTACAATTGTTCTCACATATTTTTGTTTTTTTATTTTTTTTTTATTTTTTAAAGGAATCCAACTTGGTTTCCTTTTTTTTTTAATTTATTTATGATAGTCAGAGAGAGAGAGAGAGAGGCAGAGACATAGGCAGAGGTAGAAGCAGGCTCCACGCACCGGGAGCCCGACGTGGGACTCGATCCAGGGTCCCCAGGATCGCGCCCCGGGCCAAAGGCAGGCGCCAAACCGCTGCGCCACCCAGGGATCCCTGTTCTCACATATTTTTGAACTTTTATTCATGTATGATATACCTACAGTAAAGTATACAGATTGTAAGTATGCAGCTCAGCATATTTTCACAAAATAAACACATTTGTATCATCAGCACTCAGATGTAGAAACATAATTTTAATACCAGGACCCAGATTGCCTTTACCCCCTTGTAGATAATATTCCCCTCCTTTGGAGAGAATTATAATCCTTACTACAAATATCATCTTTCTTTTTTTTTTAGATGTTATTTATTTATTCATGACACACACACACACACACACACACACACACAGAGGCAGAGACACAGGCAGAGGGAGAAGCAGGCTCCATGCAGGGAGCCCGACGTGGGATTCGATCCCGGGTCTCCAGGATCAGGCCCTGGGCTGAAGGCTGCAGTAAACCTCTGCGCCACCAGGGCTGCCCTTACTACAAATATCATACATTAGTTTTGCATGTATTTAGTAAGTAGTTATACCATTTAATAAATAGTATCACACAGAACGTAATCTGTATTTGCGTTTTCTTTCAGCATCATGAGTTATTGTGTATCGTTGGAGACCATCCACTCTCAGTGCTATAGAATAGTCTGTATTAGTTATTGGCTGCTGTGTAATACATTTCCACAAATTTGGGGCCGTGAAACAGCAAACTGTATTCTATCAGAATGATAAGAGAATTCGCATATCACAATAAAATTCTGCGAACAGTTCTCTTAAAATCTTTATGGGTATTCTATGAATCTTACTGAGATTAACTCACTAATTACAAGAAAACCATAGCTACTTTGGGCTTCTGCATGGACTGTGGACAGACAACGCCTTCTTAAAAGTCTTATTATCAGATGGAACCATCCACTGAGGCACTGCCTCAGATCTTTCTTAACAAAGGATTTGTGGTTTTTTTTTTTTTAAGATTTTATTTATTTATTCATGAGAGACACAGAGAGAGAGGCAGAGACACAGGCAGAGGGAGAAGCAGGCTCCCTGCTGGGGGGTACCCCTGATGCAGGACTGATCCCAGGACCTCTGGATCACGACCTGAGCCTGAAGGCGCTCAACCACTGAGCCACCCAGGCATCCCTTCACAGAGAATTTGCATTCACATCCTTGGCATTATTTTCAGATCCTGTTTTCTCGAGAGTTCCCTAGATATGATCTTTGCCCGGAAGCCATCTTTGGATTTTAGTATCACTGGTCCTTGGGGAGGCTAATAGTGTCCAACCTAGCAATCCCCAGCTCCTTTCTGTTCAACATGCCTTCCTTTAGCTTATCTCTTGCTTTTCATTTTGACTGTCAGCAGCAAAAAGAGACCAGATGGCACCTTCAATATGCTGCTTAGACATCTTCTCAGTGAGATCTTCAGTTCATTTGGTGAGGTTTCTACCTCCCACCCCACCACAGGTACCAGAATTGCCAAACATAGCAAGATCTCTGTTCCTTGGGTTCTCTTACTTTGTCCACTTCCCTGCAACTGCAACATCCTCAAAGGCCATCTGACTTCTCACAAGATCTTCAATATTTCTTGATCTTCACTGACACTCCTCAAATTCCCTCCTGCTTCTGCCAAGCCCCAGGTCCAAAGCCATTCCCACAATTTCAGGTTTCTGTTATGGCAGCACCTCATATCCAGACTTCGGCCCAGCCCAAAAGCTAAAACCCACGCATAGGAGCCAATTATATATGCTGTCCTGAATCTGCTTGCTTCTGCTTAGCAACTTTGGAGATCATTCAGTATCAGTAGATATAGTGTAGCCCAGTGTCCCATTGTCTGAGTGAGCTAGATCTTTAAATTTTAAAATGATTAATATTTACAATGTAAAAGACTAACACTTTAAATGTTAATAGATTTGCCAATTGCTCTCCTAAGTTGTATTAATTTACACTCACAACAATGTATGGCACAGGCTGTTTCTCCACATACCTGTGACCATGCAGTGTGTTAGCAAACTCTTTGGCCTTCACTAACTTGGTAGCCAACATTTCAGGGGGTGGTGTGATAGGTGAAACAGGTGAAAAGGATTAAGAGGTATAAACTCCTGGTTATAAATAATTCACTGGGATGAAAAGCACAACATAGAGAATATAGTCAATGTTGCAAAAATTGTGTTAAAAATTTCACTGTCTATTTTGCATTTCATTTATTATGAATAAGGTCAAGTATAATTTTATACATTTAAAAGCCATTTTTATTTTTTCTGTTACCTGCCTAATCGTGATTTTTGTCCATTTTCAGGTAGTTGATCATCCTATTGATGTTTCAGAGCTCTTGAGGAAAATAGAGCTTTATCTGTCTTACATGTTGGAAAAGTTCCTTTCACAGTTTGTCATTTATATCTTAAGTTTGCTTATAGAAATTCCTTCACCCATGGTTTTTGCATAGGCAAGTTTATTACGATTCCCTTTATATCTTGCTTAGAGAGTTTTTCTTCCTCTGCAAGATTGTAAAAAGAAACAAAACAGAACAGAACACAAAAACTCCATGATTTCCTTTACTGGTTTCGTTTTTAACATTAAAATTTGATAGATCTGGAATTTATTTTGGCATAACGAGAGTGAGAAGCCCCCCTTCCCTCCGTCTGATCAGTCAGTTCATTGAACAACCCATCCTCGCCACCCCGCCCCCCGCGTTTTCATTGTGTTCTACCCTCCTTAAGGTGTCTTTCTTTCTCTACTAGATCTTGACACATCTTTTATTAGAACCATGAAACCAGAGGACTTTGGGTAGTGCCGTGAGTCCTGCTGTAGGGCAGGGAGTCTGTATGGGTCCGAGGCTTGCGTGCGGAAGCCGGGAGCCGGCCTAGCCACTTCCTCCCTCCCGCAGGTCTGCAGTAAGGGGCAGTTGGGGGAAGCAGGCCTTTGGATCACTGCTGGATCGTTTGCTAATTGATTGGGGTGGGGGGAGGACGGGAGGGAGGGTGTGAACCCGTCCTTGTTAGCCACGCAAAGTCTTTATTTTCCAGGACCTAGTCTGGTTTCTTTTATGGCACCCTACCCACCCAAATCTTCCTTAACATGGAGTGGCAGGGCGCCCCGCCCCGTCGCCTCCAAAGCCCTCTTGGCGGGTCCCGGTCTACCATCTGGATGACACGGAGGCTCCGGGCGCCCAGAAGGGAGCGGCGCCCCGCAGTGTCCTCGGCGCCCACCAGAAGGCGCCCGGGCGCCCGCGGTCCCCGCGCCCCCGGAGCCGCCGCCGCACCGCGCCCGGGAGCCGAGCCGCCGGGAGCCGCCTGAGCCTCCCCTCCTCGCAAGCGGAGCTCGGGGCTGGGGTGCACGGTTTCTCAGCTCCGTCCGCCCCCCCGCCCCCCACCCTCCCCGCTGCAGGAAACGCCCAGAACCGCCGCGCGCCGCAGCCCACAAAGCCCGGAGCGTCGGAGCGTCGGAGCGCGGGAGGGGCTGGGCGAGCCCGGGACGGGAGAGGATCCCCCGGACCAGGCTCGCGCCCGGCTCCCCGCCCAGGCCGCCTCCGGCCCCATGAGGACCCCCCGGCCGGGGCCGAGAGCCTGCAGCAGCCCGGACGGAAGCCCTGCGGCGGCCTTGCAGCCCTAGGCAGGTCAGTGCCCGCGCGGGATGGGGTCGCGCTGCGGCCGGAGGCTGCGCGCTCGCCGCCGCGCGCCCAGGTCACACCGCCCGCCGCACCCACAGCGCCCGTGATTCTGCGTTTTGCATGACAGGCAAGGTGTGGAGCTCACCGGGGGCCGGGTGATGCTCGGGCGGGGGCGGCGGGGCCGGCCGGGCGAGGACCCGCGGAGGCAGGGCGTTCTGGGGTTCGCCCCCCCGCCCCGCAGGCACCGCGTCCGGCGGCCCCTGCATCAACGCGCCGGGCCTGGGCGTGGAGGACACCGAGACGGAGATGCGGGAGGAGAATAAAGGAGGCTGCAGCCGCGAGGCCCGGGAGGGAAGCGAGGAGGGCGGGGGAACCATTCGCTAGGCGCAGCCCGGCGCGCCGCTGCGGAGGGCGCGGGGAGCCGGGAGCCGGCCGCAGGCTCGGGGAGCACCGGCCGCGGGGTCCCAGCCCACGCCTCCCCGCCGCGCCCTTCTCACCCTCCCTCCCGCCCGCCAGGATGCGGCTGGGCCGCCGGGCCCTCTACGCGCTGGTGCTGCTGCTCGCCTGCGCCTCGCTTGGGCTCCTGTACGTGAGCACCCGGGACGCGCCGGGCCTCCGGGCACCCCTGGCGCTGTGGGCGCCCCTGCAGGGCCCCCCCAGGCCGGAACTACCGGACCTCGCGCCTGAGCCCCGCTATGCACACATCCCCGTCAGGATCAAGGAGCAAGTGGTGGGGTGAGTGCCAGGAGTGCTGGCGGCAGAGCGGCCCCCGCGGGGGGTGGCGTGCGTAGCCTTTGTCTCCCCGCACTGCTGAGCTCTGGTGTCTGGCTTCTCCCGACGAGCGGGGGTGGGGGTGGGGGTTCTAAGTCTTGAGCTGGGGGAAAAACAATCCCTCCTCCCAGAACCTTGTCGTGGTGATGGGAGGGGAGGATGTGCAGGCGGAGGAAGGTCCTCAAAGACTTTCTGAGGCCCTGACGGTTCCACGTGAAAGGGGCCCCATGTGGGGTCCTGAACTGAACGGTGGGTAGGCCACTCTGAAATTCTAGCAGTTGGCCCTGTTCTACACTCTGTAAAATCCAGATTTGGGGGATGAGTCATGCCATGGGTGGTCTCTCCTCCTGGGAACTATTTGGAGAGCAGTGTTTAAGGGGACAGACATGGGATGGGCAGGGTTGAAAGCCAGCGAGCGGGGCACTGTGTAAATGCTTTGTGGGGCGACTGCAGCTGTATGGCTGGGCTCTGATGACCCTTCGTCCCTCCCTCCTCCAGGCTGCTCTCTGGGAACAACTGCAGTTGTGAGTCCAGCGGAGGGAGCCTTCACCTCCCCTTCCAGAGGCAGGTCCGAGCCATTGACCTCACCAAGGCCTTTGACCCCCAGGAGCTGCGGGCTGCCTCTGCCTCCAGGGAGCAGGAGTTCCAGGCCTTCCTTTCAAGGTACCAGCCTGAAAGGAGGGCGTGTCCCTGCAGCTGTGGAGCCTGGGAGGCCGGGAGGGAGGGCGTGATGGGAAGGAGAGCTCCTCCGCATAGGATTCCTTCTCTGTACTCCGCTGCCAGGAGCCAGTCGGCCGCTGACCTGCTGCTCATAGCCTCCGCCAACTCCCCTCTTCAGTACCCTCTGCAGGGTGTGGAGGTCCAGCCGCTCCGGAGCATCTTGGTGCCAGGTGGGGAGACTGAGTCTAGGGGATGACCCAAGCCACTTGGGGGTGACAGAGCTCAAGATTGGGTGAGGAAGAATGAAGGAAGGTTGGGATGGGAAGCGGGGAACTCCTGATGAGCGGGACTTGAGGGTGCCTGGGGGGCTCAGTTGGTTAAGCGTGTCTGCCTGGGCTCAGGTCATGATCCCGGGGTCCCAGGCCATAAAGAGCTATTGCTTTAATGGGAAGGAGTAAAAAATCAGTTACTCTAGGCTGCGGGCCCAGCATGTGCCCTGCTGTGGCCTCAACAAAGAGGGATGGTGAGAAGGTGTGTGCTGTGTGTGATGAGGGAGAGAAGAGAAAGTGAAGGCTGGCTGTGATTCTTACTGCCTCTCCTTCCTCCCAGGGCTGAGCCTGCAGGCAGCTTCTGGTCAGGAGCTTTACCAGGTAAGAGGACACGAGGCTGGGAAGGCCAGGTGGGCATTGAGGATGCTGGAGGGAGCCCAGGCTGCCCAAACCAGGGAGGCAAGAGGGTCTGAGACCTAACCCGGTGTTCTCCAACCCCCACCCCCAGGTGAACCTGACTGCCTCCTTGGGCACCTGGGATGTGGCAGGGGAAGTGACTGGAGTGACTCTCAATGGAGAAGGCCAGCCAGATCTCACCCTCACCAGCCCAGGGCTGGACCATCTCAACCGGCAGCTACAACTGGTCATTTATAGCAGCCAAAGCTACCAGGCAAACACAGCAGACACAGGTGTGAGGCCTGGGTGGAGGCATGGGCAGGGTGGGTGAACAGAGAGCCCAGAAGGGCTGGAGCGGGCAAGTGACAGAGGGTGTGGGAGACATTCGGGCAATGGCCAGAGCTGCCCAGTCACACAATGGGCATTTCAACTAGGCCAGCAGGGCCAGGGAGGGAGAGAAGGGGCCTTTGTTCATCTGGGGCCAGAGCAGGCCAAAGGGAAACCCGAGCCTTGGGTGTGTACCCCCCTTCAGGCCAACCATGGGGGCCCAGGAAGTGACCTGCCCCAACTCAAGCTCTGTTCCCAACCCACCACTTACTAGAGGGCAAAGGGCTTTATAGCCCAGAGCTCCCATTTCTCCTCTAGCAAAAGAGGCACAGCTCTCCAAAGCTTGCTACACCAAACCTGCTCCCACTTTGGGGCCTTTGCACTTGCTGTTCCCTCTGCCTAGAATGCTCTTCCCCCAGATTTTTGCATGGCTGGCTCCTTCTTGTCGTTTGGATCTCAGCTCAGATGTCTCCTCTTCATGATCACATTACTTGTTTTATTTTCCATTCAATGCTTACCAGTGTCTGAATTTTATTTACTTAGCTTGAAACCAGACTGACTAGGTTCCTATCTCAATTTTGTTGCTTAATAGTTGTGTAAATGTAGGCAAGTTACCTAAGTTATCTATGCCTTTTTCTGTAGTGGGAATCTACTTAATAGATAGCTCGTGGGGATTAGTGAGTTCACATATTTAAGGTAACTTAAAAAGTGCCTGCCACATAGTAAATGCTCAATAAGGTTAGCTTTTAATTAAATCTTTTTTAAAATTTATTTATTTATTTATTCGAGAGAGACAGACAGAGAGAGAGAGAGAGAGAGAGAGGCAGAGACACAGGCAGAGAGAGAAGGAGGCTCCACACAGGGAGCCCGATGTGGGACTCGATCCCAGGACTCCAGGATCACGACCTGGGCCGAATGCAGGTGCTAAACTGCTGAGCCACCCAGGGATCCCCTAAATCTGTTTTTTAAAATTAAATACTTTATTTCTTTCTCCCGCCCATTAGAATGTTGGTGCCAGGGGCCTAAAAACTTTGCATTCCTGTCCACCAGGGCCCAGAAAGATGGTACACAGACTAGGCACTTAAATATTGATTTACTTACAAGGGAATGTTATCCCAGCCTTAAGGAGCACGGCTTTGTGTCCTTTCTTCCCAGTCCGGTTCTCCACGGAGGGACATGAGGCTGTCTTTACCATCCGCATAAGACACCCTCCCAACCCTCGGCTTTACCCACCAGGATCTCTACCCCAGGGAGGTGAGGTTCATGCATGTGGGGACCTAACTCCAGTGCTGGTGGGGAGAAGTTGGGAGAGGGCGACCCTGGGGGAAGACGTCTTCTTGCTCCCCGCTTCCCACTCGGGGTCTCTGCACCTAACCCTGCCCCTCACTCCCAGCCCAGTACAACATCAGCGCCCTGGTCACCATTGCCACTAAGACCTTCCTACGTTACAATCGGCTACGGGCGCTCATCGCCAGCATCCGCCGCTTCTACCCAACGGTCACCGTGGTCATCGCGGACGACAGCGACAAGCCAGAGAGCATCAGAGGCCCCCACATCGAGCACTATCTCATGCCTTTTGGCAAGGTGCGCAGCCAGGGAGGGTGAACCGCTGTGCACCAGAGGGCGCCTTCAGTGTCTGAAGTCCCTAGAGTAGTGATTCCAGAACTACTGGGTGCCTGTTAGGCATGGCAATTCCGGGACGTGAGCTCCGGCGGAGCAGGAATCCTGCCTGCCTTGCTCGCACTGCGTTCTTAGAACGTGCTTAGCACCTAGTGAGCGCTCGCTGAATAGGTGAGGGATGAATGCATGAATGAATGAGGGGCACTAACACCTTGCCCCAGGACGGTGACTCGGGGCCCTGGCAGTGGGAAAGCAGCTCTGGACTAAAGTGCAGGGAGGCGTCAGGAGAGAGGGAAAGGTGGCCGCGGGTCCGGGCCCTCCTCTGCAGCTTCACCAACCATCCATGCGCTCGCCCAGGGCTGGTTCGCAGGCAGGAACCTGGCCGTATCACAGGTGACCACCAAGTACGTCCTGTGGGTGGACGACGACTTCGTCTTCACTGCGCGGACGCGGCTCGAGAGGCTTGTGGACGTGCTGGAGCGGACGCCGCTGGACCTGGTAGGGGCGGGCCCGCGGTGGGTGGGAGACGGAGGCCGGGGCGGCCCTGGGACGGGCCCACGGGGGACCACGCGGCGAGCCCGCCCGCAGAGCCTGGGGCGATCTGGGGCCCCTCAGGGGTGGAGCGAGAGAGGATGGGCCGGGAACCCGGGGGGGGGGGTGTAGGTCCAGCCCCCACTCCCCCCCCCCGTGTCCCTGCACCCCCTTGGCCACCCTCCCACTGCCCGCAGGTGGGCGGCGCGGTGCGCGAGATCTCGGGCTTCGCCACCACCTACCGGCAGCTGCTGAGCGTGGAGCCCGGCGCGCCAGGCCACGGGAACTGCCTCCGGCAAAGGCGTGGCTTCCACCACGAGCTCGTGGGCTTTCCAGGCTGCGTGGTCACCGACGGCGTGGTCAACTTCTTCCTGGCGCGCACCGACAAGGTGCGCGAGGTGGGCTTCGACCCGCGCCTCAGCCGCGTGGCGCATCTGGGTGAGTGGCGCCCCCTCCCGGCCGGGCCGCAGGGACACCGCGCCCCCGGGGCGCTGGAGGCACCACGTATCCTGCGCCCACCAAGAGTTACCAAGAGCCCACCCTGCCGGGCCGCACACCACTCAAGCCTCCACGCCCAGCACAGCCACTGCCACCCGCCACCTTTACTCCACGGCTAGCTGCGTCCCCTGTTCAGGCCACCCTCCTAGAGCAGCCGCTCAGTGCACCTAGTGTACATTTAGGTGTGTGTTGGGGAGGCCTGGGTGGCGCTCTCGTTATCAAAGCACAAGGTTAAGTATGTGGAGTCCATTTTACAGAAGAGTGAAACTAAGACCCCAAAGAATTAATTACTAGCCCAAGGGCCCTGGAAATGGGGCCCCTTCATGTGCACCCTCCATACCCCAAATCTCAGTTCTCCCTGAAGGGTTGGCTTTCTGTACCCTTCAGACCCTTCACTAAGTACTCTCCCTCCCTCCACCCCCAGAATTCTTCCTGGATGGGCTTGGTTCCCTTCGGGTGGGCTCCTGCTCAGACGTCGTTGTGGATCATGCATCTAAGCTGAAGCTGCCTTGGACATCAAGGGATGTGGGGGCAGAGACTTATGCCCGGTACCGTTACCCAGGATCACTGGATGAGAGTCAGGTGGCCAAACACCGCCTACTCTTCTTCAAACACCGGCTGCAGTGCATGACCTCAGAATGACGGCCACTCGGGGCCTTCAGACTGTCAGGCTGGGCCTGCCGCCTCGTCCCTGCCAGGAATTTCTAGCAAACCCCACCACCCAGTGACCACTCCACTGACTGTCCCCGATCCCCTTCAGAATGTGATCCCAAATAGGGGCTTGTCCTGGTGACACTCCTTTTTGTGAGTGCCCAGGGACGTGATGGAGCCATAACTCGTCCCACAGCCAGTGCCAAGTCCTCCCCCTACCCCCTTCTCATGGGGCAGTAAGTGGGGGGGGGTCGCTTTCTAAGTGCCAAAGAGCCCATGGGGACTCTAAGAAAACTAAAGCGGAACTATTCTTCTCTCATCTTCTTGGGACTGAGGGAGTGGGGAAGCCCCCAACATGTATTCCCAGGGCTGTGCTCCTCTTCCTCATCTCTGGATCCAGGACTCCGTACCGGCTCCAGCCCCACCCCCCATGGAGACAACAGTTGACTCTGGAGCTGGAGTGAGGCCTGGTGAACACACATTTCATGAAAGCCATTCGTAGTCGTGTCTGCAATGCTGTGGGCATGGAGAAAGGGGCACCAAGGGTCAGTGTGCGGACACCCAGACTCACATCATGGACCCCAGAGGCTCTCAGCTTTGTTTTATTAGTTATATGAAGTAAGGCCACTCCTCACACACATACTGCTGGGGCCCTCCGCACTCCAGATGACCGGGTCAGACCCACACTGTGCAAGTCTTTGGACCAGTGGGCTCCTGGAAAAGAGAGGGGGCATGACAGGAATAGCTCAGGTGCTCTCCTCCCTCACTCAGCCTCTGGCAGTCCTCTGAGGGGCACACCACCCAACTGAAACCTTAGCTCCTCACTTCACGCAGAGCAGGGCCCAGGCCCCCTGGCTTAGCCTGAGATGGATGAATCATTTCCTCCCTGCCCCCCTCCAGCTCCCTTCTCAGTCCCCTTCCCCAAGCCCTCTGCCTAGATCTTCAGCCACTGACTCACATGTGACCTGCCATAGCCCAGCGCCTCCTGGATTTCACTTGCTACTGCGTCCTCACCAGTCTCTCCAGGGCATGAGCAGCTGCATCCTGGACACTGACAAACAGCTGTTCTGGGGTCACTCTGTCCAGGAGTCCTGCCTGGGTCAGTGTCCCCAGCACTGAGGCTGTGAAGAGAGGCGGGTCAGGTTCTTAGGCCCCAAAACTACACTGTGTCCTTCTCCCCCACCCCCCACACCACCAAGTGTCCGGTCACTCCCCAGTCTCCAGGGCCCTCCGCCCTCCACACCTCCCTCACCATGACACTGAGCCAGAAGAAGGTGGATCCCGGCATCTCGGCATCGGCTGGCCAGCTGCGGAGATGGGGCAGGGGGTTAAATCCTACCACAGAGGACATGCATGGGACCATATGGGACCTTGTCCTCAACCTACCCTGTCCCTCACCTGTACCACTTCTCTGGCTCCAGCAGCATCCACAAAGGTGATACCACTGCAGTCTAGGACCACCACTCTGACGGGCTCAGCAGCTAGGATGGGAGAAGGCAGGAGTAGCCAGCCGCCTCCAGGGCTCATACCCAAGTCTCCCTCCTTGTCCTCCCATCTCACCTGCATCAGGGGGGCCATCTGCCTTCCGAGCCTCCTGTGAGCAGAGAAGGGCAGTTACCTCCTCCAAGACACAAGCGTGAATGAGCACCCCTCAAATGACCCCCTTCAGAAGGCCCACCTGTCCCCCACCGCCAGGGAAGCCACACTCTCTTTGACCAGGTCTCTCACCTTGCCTGCTTCTCCAAGTCCCAGCTGCCACTCCAGGGTGCGGCGAAACTGCCCACGGGTGCCAAAGTAGAGCGGCGCTGGATAGCTCAGGACGCAGAGCCCCCGGGCCTTGCGGAGCTAAGATGTCAGAGGGTCAGAAAAACATGTGGGTCTAATCTTGCCCTCCCTCTCTGTCTGGAGCCCACCCACCTTGTGGCTCTCCCTGAGTGGCCTGTAGAGTTCCGTCCCCTCGGCAAGTCCAAGTGCCAGGCACTGCACCCTGGGCAGGAAGCTTGGGTCAGATTCCCAGCCTGGCCTGGCTGGAGAGTCACCCCAAGCACCTGTTCTCTCCCCCAGCCCTCTCCCCAACTCCTCTCATCTGTCCTCCCACCTCTGGGTGCGGCAGACCACAGTCATCATGGAGAAGACCACACCTATGGCCAGGCCCAGGTCCACGCTCAGGATCACTACGGCCACCCATGTGACCATCCACACGGCCTGCAGGACATGGATGGGAGTGAACGCCAGGCCATCGCGTCTAGGGCAAGAGGTCCCGGGGCAGGGACTGCCAAGGCCAGTGATAGGGGTGGCCCAGGAGAAGGTAGGAAGAATAGGAAGGAATAGGATCGACCCAATGGGGATATAGGTCAAATATAATGACCCCAACCGTGCACCCGCTGGGGAGTCACAGATATTCAGGCCTGAAGGGTTCAAACCCCATCCTCCACCTTGTGTCTGAGTCTTGGGATTAGGAAATATGCGTGTTGGGGGTGGGGGGGGCACCAGAATTTAGGAGTGGGACAGCTAGCTCCAACCTGGGGGGTAGAGGCTGGGGATGCTGGGGAATGGGAGGGGGCAGTCCAGGGTTACGTGATGCTGCCACTTCTCACAAAGTCCATGCGGCTGATGCGCCACAGTTGTGGAAGTTCCTGCATCTGGAAGAACATCTGGCGCATGCTGGAGATGTTGATGCAGGCCAGGACAGCCTTGGGGCAGAGGAGGCAAGCTGAGGCCCGATGCCCCGGAATGTAACCACTCCTCCCGGTCCCCCCCATCCCTCCTGTGCTCCTTACCTTGGGCAGATAATAGAAGAAGGGCCCCAGCCACAGCAGCACTGACAGGACAACTATGCAGGAGAAGAGACCTGCCAGCTAGAAGGTGGAAGGGAGGGAAGCAGAGAAGGAAGGGGACCTCATCCACCCCCCTGGGACAGCTGGTCCCCCTGCCCCCTCTGCCTCATCTTCCCTGGAAGTCTCGCTCCTCCCAAAGCCCCTTCCATGAAGATACTCCTCAGTCTGCAGCTCCCTTCTTGGTATACCGCCTCTCACACCCACCTCCCCTCTCCCAGTCAAACGCCTCTCTTCACCGGTCCCTACCTGGATAGAGTTCAACCTCCCCATTTTGTAACCCGTGTCCATCCTAAAAGCCACTGTTGGATTACTCTAAAAGCAGGCTAACCACATTTTTAGGGAACTGGCAAAGTAGGAAACCAGAAATTAAGGGGTAGATTTTCATATGTTTTTTTTTTTTTTAAGATTTGAGAGAACAGAGCATGTGAGAGAGGACAGTGGGTGTGAGAGGGAGAGGGACAAGCAGACTCCCCACTGAGCAGGATGTGGGTGTGGGGCTCGAGCTCAGGACCCTGAGATCATGACCTGAGCCCAAGGCAGACGCTTAACCGACTGAGCCACACATACCCTCTGTGATTTTTTTAAGATTATTTGTTTATTTATTCATAGAGACACACACACAGTGAGAGAGAGGCAGAGACACAGGCAGAGGGAGAAGCAGGCACCATGCTGGGAGCCTGACGTGGGACTCGATCCGGGGTCTCCAGGATCATGCCCTATAGGCTGCAGACAGTGCTAAACCACTGCGTCACCGGGGCTGCCCTGCGATTTTTTTTAAAAAGAAAATGTCCTCATGGGGGGGAAATCTCTCAACTTTACAGTTTAGTTTTGTTTTTATTTTGAACTACATATGGGGCGCCGTAAATTTTTTCGGTGCTTATAGTCTACAGAGGTCTTAATGGAGCTTTATCATCTTCTATCCTACCTAGAAAATCCCACCCCTTCGCTCACTTTCAGATTCCTATCCTCCTCTATACGGCTGCCCTGTGGGTATCTCCCAACCCTCCACCTGTTGCGCCACCACCCCAACCTGGATACTCACCCCACTTTCTTCTCACCCAAGGACGCGCTCTCACCTGTGTATTCCCACCAGCATCCACTAGGAGGCTGGTGGTGGCCAATGTGGCAGAGTTGGGAAAGCAGGAGAAGAGGGAGGAGATGAGGTTGGAGACACCATGGGCCAAGAGCTCCTGGAGGGAAGGGGGGAGATGAACAGGAGAGAGACAAAGGCATTGGGGGGGGGGCATCAGATGAGGGAGTTGTCTCCTGAATGAAATGGGGGTCCTCAGGGTCCCACCTGGTTGGAGTCAATAGTATAGCTATACTTGTCTGCATAGATGGAGGCCAGGGAGGCGGACACAGCAAAAGCAACCAGTGCGATGGGCAGCGAGTCAGCCAGAATCCTGGGCAGCTCAGCCAGGTTAGGGAGGTGGGGTTGGGGAAATCTGGAGAGAGAGGGATGCGGGGTGAGGATGGGTTGGGTCTCAGGAGGATATGGGGGAGACAGAGAAAATGGGGTGGGGCAGGTCAAGAGGACACGTTGGGTGTGAGCAGTGTGAGCAGAGCAGGCTGGCGTCTTGATTCTCTTACCCTCCAGGCAGCAGCCCCACTATCTGGACGTTGTATCTTGTGTCCAGGGAAGAGGTGAAGCAGAGCACAGAGGCCAGAAGCACCTGGGAAAGAGAACAAATTAGAGCAAGGCCGGAGATGGGCTTCCTGGCAGGGGCTAGAAAGAGCTTCACCTGAGAGAGGATCCCGAGGCAGTTAGTGTTTGCAGAGGCCCAGCACCTGGGGCCGCTGGGAGGTGCCGGGAGGTGCCTGATGCCGACTTAGAGTGGAGGACGGTGGGGATGGGAGAGAGGAGCGAGGTGCACCCGAGGTTATGGAAAGAGATGGGCGGGAGGAAGGAGAGGGCCTCGCACCAGGCCCTGGAGGCCGCGAGGAGGCTGAGCCTTTCTCGGCAGGAGGGCCGGGCTATATCCAGGCACAAACGACGTAGGGTGGGGCCGCGGGACGCGTATTCAGTTGGAGAGAGAGAGAGAAATGCGGGGGGGGGGGGGGCGGGGGGAGGGGAACGTGACCCGAAGGCCCGGTGGGTGCGGGGAGGGCGCGCAGCGGCGGTGCTGTGGCGGGGGGCGCCCGAGCAGGACGAGCCCTAGGGA